AGAAAAAAATGTTTTATGCTTATATTTGTTTGCTATTTGGACTATTGAAAATAAATTATATTTCTTCTAATTGTTTCCATGGGTTTCTCTGCAATTTATTTAAGCTAATATAACTTAAAAATTTAAAAACAGCTCACCCAAATGCCCAAATGATATCAACATATATATTTTTCAAATCAGAGAAAAAAGGGCTTTTATTTTAGCGCATAATATACAGGGTGTTTTATTAATGTGGATGCTGCCTATATTTTTTCATTTTCGATGCAATTTTGTTTTTATCTTATAACTTCAAACGATAATATAGGAAAAAAACCTACAACTTCTGCTAAATTTTTTTTTTCTATCTGACATAATGAAGGCTCTAGGAAGCACGTAAATGTAGTCAAAGACCCTGTACATGACATTTCAATTAATAGAAAGATATTTGGGTAAACAAAAAATAATTATAATCAGTATCCTATAAAAGGTTAATGTTGATAGTATAAATTAAAGTAGGGATCACTTACCAATTTTAAAAAAATCAAACCGTTGAAATTAGAGTCAGCAGGTATTCAGCATTTGATTTTTTAGAAAAAAGTAGTAAACAAAATATTACACAACACAACACTTGACAAAATAAAAATAACTTTAAATGTTATAAATTATAGGATTACTTATTTTTATGCACTTGATGCACAGTCCAGTGAACTAAACGGTTTAAAAACGCCTCTGGTGATGCATCATCTCTTTTATAGCGCTCCGGGAATTGTTCATGCCTAAACAGGAAAAATCACCGCCTGACATGTTCTCGTAACATAGGAATCGGCAGTAACTGGATGATATACTAATAAAATTTCGTGTTGATTTATTATTTTAAAATTAATTTAGCAGCGGCTGTCACCAGATGCGGATTTCTCCACATCAAATTTTGAATATCAAGGCAGGTCCGAAAAAGCTGTAGGGTTCGTGCCAAAATTTGTTTATAACTTTTGTAAACATTCTCATAGAATATTAGGTATATTTCATTTTTTAAAAAACTAATTTCTGAGACAGTTTCAAATTCTTTGATGAATTATGAAATTTGTTGTATTTGAAAGATTAATTTGAAACAATTGTTGATAATTTTAATTCGGCGCTGGCATCGAGAGGATTCACCAAGAAATTAGCAAAACCCTCTTCAACCGTAGCGCTGAATTAAAGTACCAACAATCAATACAATTCATGTATCACCTGAATTCAACAATCAAAATTATTTCAACTCATTAAAAAGGAATGTTAATAAAAAGTGAAACGGCGTGGCACACTGTTTTTCTTTCTATTAGTATTTTGTAAAAATGAATTGTTTTGACTGTTGTATTTAGGTGATACATGAATTAAATTGTATGTTGTTTATAATATGGAGGATAGAGGTAAGGAGAACCATATCTGGTTATCGGAAAGTGTCCGTTGAAAGCCATTAAATTAGGGACTTAGGGAGGCGCCACTGTAGCAAGTGTGTAAAGTGTAAATTTTAAATAAAGTGCTAAAAGTTAAAGAATAAGGGGATCTTGATAAAACGGAAGTAGAAATCCTCGCTTGCAAACCTTTTTAAATCACACAATAATTCATTGACTTTCAACGTTATCACAGAGGAACTTTGTTAGGTTATAGTCACCAAATAATATTCTACTGCGTAAATCATTACATTTCTATAAGTTATATATCAACTCGAGTCATTAAAAATATTAAACATTCGAACTCAGCATACTTCACGTTCTCTATAATTGCAAAGTTGATATCATACCACTCTTGATATATTTGACGCTCCGGTCGAACGGAATATTGTGGTACTATCATTAAACAAACATATTTCAAGTTGTGATCGAATTGAAAAGGCCAAACTGTTGCAATTGTGTTTGTGCAAGGATAATCATAACATTCTTTTACACCTTGAAAATTCCAAAGACACTAATGGAAGAGAATCCAAGTTGCAGAATGCCCAACAGCAGAAACAATATAATAAAGTTCTATTGAACCATTTATCTTCTGACTCAAGAAATCATGTGTTTTTTTCCACAGCTTTAGAAAGTGAAGGATAGTAATGGTCCTTGGTTCACAGCTTGAGCATTGCAGCATGCAGGTAGCCAATCAGGTAGCCTATGTCACCACTGAATTGTGTTATATACTTGGACTAAATAAAGAGTTATAATTTAATGGTGTACGGCAAAACAGTTCAGAAGTAAAATATAGATGTTCCTTGAGCTTGCGTACACCGTAGGGTATATTCAAACCTGTCCATTGTTTACTTTTGTCTAAAATAACTGTATTGGTCGAATACATTTGGAAAATTATTCTAAGGGTTCTATTCTTCGTTAAATGTAGATTTGATTGGATAGTAGGTATGTCGACTAGCGGAAATTAGTGGCTTAGTATTGACCATATGTATTTTGTAAAGACACGTGTGAAGAAGCTATTGTATAGCGAAACGTGTTGCGTTTTTGTAAAACTGTTTAGTGAAAATCTCACAATAGTGTTTCTTGAATAATATAAANTATTGTAATGAAAAGCCTGAAAAGCGTTTCAAATACTTTTTCATTGTAGAATACGTAGATTCGCTAGAAGCATAAGTTTAATTTTTTTTAAATAATGTGTATCTAAAGTCGAATGCAGGCAAATGTAAAAACTAAAATTTATTGCCATTTCTGAAATATTAAAAAACATTCTTCAAAATAAGAAGATGGATAAGTCCTAATTATTGAGGCAAAATATGTTAAATTCGCTTGTTTCTCAGCAGATATATTAGACTTCATATTGGAATAAATACCAAAATTACAATATGGGGTCAATAAAAACATACATTAATGATTGCCTATAAAACCTATTCTACTATTTTTTCAATAATAGTAGGCTATGGCCTAGTTGACGTTAATTATTACTATGAAACAAAAAGTATTTGACAGTGACACAACTTGTTAATCAAACCATTATAATTGTTTTAACTAGTTTAAAATCATTGTCATTTTGAAATATTGTAAAATGAGAACTTATCAACAGGAAGAACGAAATGATATGATTTTGATAATCGGTGAGTGTGAAGAAAACTGTTTATTAGCGTCAAGAATATATGTATCCTAACAGGATATAGGTATCCTAACAGGAGTCATCCTGACGAGCGTTCATTGGAAAAGTTGTTGCAGCTTTTCCGAGGAACAGGCAGTGTATCTTATAATATGCAAGAATGGCAAAAACCGGTTACTGGAAATGAGGAAAATGAATATTCAGTGATGTTATTTATAATTGAACACCCTCACACAATTCACCGAAAAATATGTGAAACAACTGGAATAAGAAGACAGAGTATCCAAAGAATAATTAAAAATTACAAATTTTTGAAGTAGATTATGATCCACGACTGGGTTTCAGAAAAGTTTGGTGATGAATTTTTTTTTGGTTATGTGCTTTATTCCGACAATAACTTTCACTACTACAGTGACGAAAACCCTAATATTTTTAGAACCCTTGATCACCAGCACAAATGGTCTGTTAATGTGTGGGGTGAAATAATTGGAACGCAAGTAGTAGTTCCTTACTTTTTTTATGGTCATTTAAACGGCGTCATGTTTCTCGGATTCATTAGGGATAATTTACCTATGCCGTTGGAAAGTATACCTTTTAATATTCGTCAACGGATGTGGATGCAGCTAGATGGTTCTCCTGCACACTTTGATACGAGTTAGATCGACAATATCGAAATAGATTAATGAGACGAGGAGGTCCACAGAACTGACCTGCCAGGTCTCCGGACCTTACAAGTCCCGACTATTTTTTATGGGGATATATCAAAGTATTGTTTACGATACACCGCCAACGACACCTCAGGATATGAAAGTACGAATAAAAAGAGCGTTTCGTTCCATATAGCATAATATGTTATCCAGAGTTCAGCACTCATTTCAAGAAAGAGTTCGCCTATACATTGAGAATAATGGACACCATTTTGAGCATTTACTGAAATAATAAACTATTTAAGATTCGTAAATGCTGGTATCAAGATGTAAAAAAAAAATATTACTATTCACATGAATAAATATCACCAAGAACCTCCTCAAGAATCTCCAAGACTTTCTTCTAGTTTTCAATACTGATAAATAAATTTGGATTGCTGAAAGAAAACATTTAGGTTTCTCCAATAAACTTACTTGAAGAAGTGAGGAATTACCTATATGTATACAAAATAGGGTCACAAAGGAATGAAATAATGTCCAAAATTAAAAAAAAAACATGAAAAATATTTATTTAAAATTTTTGAACAATAGTACCTAGTAGATTATTAAATATATCAATTTTAATTCAAGAAACCATTTACATACATGTGTTTAATCAATTCAACTGATCTCACTTTAACTTCCTCTTTACTATATCTTCCATCAACATCTGATATTCTCATACGTTCGAGCTCAATAATTAGCTTTGTGATGTCCATTCGGTCCTCTTCTCTAATCATGTGATCCCTCAGCCCTATAAGTCCCATCACGAACCCAAATTTACAATACATCTTCCACTCTTCTTTCAGTGTTTCCCTAGAATATGTTATTTCTGGGTCGCAGTTCAGTCTTATTAAGGTATCAGACAACGATATGTGATAAACATCCAAGAAGTAATCGAGCTCATCATAGATGTCCGCTGATCCTCCAGCATAAAAGCAATAGGACAAATCGAAAACTGGAGTTCCAACTCTTGAACGATGAAAATCGATAAATCTTATGTCAACGGGTTTTTTGTTTTCCTGAAGTATAATAATAATTTCCATTAAACTAGGCATCATAATTTACATAAATAGTTTACAGGAAGTAATTAGATAGATCTTTATTTAAAAATAGGTAACCCTAATATACATATATATCTCAATTAAATCAACGGTGTATATATACAACATTAGACAAACACAAAAAAAGAAATACAATGCAACAATAATATACGAAAATCACAATTTTAAAAATAGAATTAATAGAATTAGTAGAATTACAAAAATTACAAGAATTGCTTTCAGTACGATATCTATTTCATCTTAATAAGTTCTTTCAATTGTTTTTTAAACAAATTCAACGATGATGATGTTTTANGGTGGGGTTTGTGTTTGCTGTCGTTGGATGGGTCTTTGTATTTGGGAGACGGGATAGTCGTTTTGGTGAAGGGCGGCTGTGAGTTCGAACAGTTCCCTGGATCTATTGTGGTTGTCAGTGAGTCTTATAGAACGATGTATGAGGGAATTCAGAACGGAATTCAGCTGGGCCGGATGATGATGGGACTTGGCATTGAGGTAGCGGTTAGTATGGACAGGTTTTCGGTAGACCGTGTGTGAGAAGGAGTTGTTGGACTTTGTGATGAGAACGTCCAGGAAAGAAAGTGAGTTATTATTTTCAAATTCCATTGTGAACTTTAGGTCAGGGTGTAAGGAGTTGATGTGGTTCAGGAATGCATGATATTCGGATCCATGGGCCATATGACGAAGACATCATCCACATATCGGAGCCAACACGTGGGTTTGAGATGAGACGTGTCAATGGCTCTGGCGAAGTCCTCCACGCCAGGCCACGCCACGAAGTCCACGCCAGGGCATGTGTAGGTGAACCAAATGAGCTCCCACACACGCCATGTCCAAGTATCTTGCGAATATCCTTCAACCACTAGCCAAAAAATCCTCATCATATGTCCGAAACTCCTATCACTTCATAGAAATTCTACAATCCTTCAATATCCAACAAACAAACATCCTTGTCAGATCTGACGTAGCATCCCTTTTCACAAATATCCCAGTATCCGAAACTTTGTCCCTTCTCAAAACGAAACATCAAATCCCACAAGATAAGATCAACCTCATCAGCCACTGCATGTCCAGCACATATTTCCGTTTCCAGGACAAATTCTACAAACAAGTAAAAGGCGCCCCAATGGGTTCTCCTCTCTCTCCAGTCCTTGCAAACCTCTACATGGAGGACTTCGAAACCAGTGCCATTGACACGTCTCATCTCAAACTCACGTGTTGGCTCCGATACGTAGATGATGTCTTCGTCATATGGCCCCATGGATCCGAAGATCTTCATGTATTCCTGAACCACATCAACTCCTTACACCCCTACCTAAAGTTCACAATGGAATTTGAAAATAATAACTCACTGCCTTTTCTGGACGTTCTCATCACAAAGTCCAACAACTCACACACGGTCTACCGAAAAACCTACCCATACTAACCGGTACCTCAATGCCCAATGAAGCACAGGGCATATACGAAATACCATGTTCAAACTGCCCCAGAACTTACATCGGCCGGACCAATAGAAGAATTTCCAACAGAGCCTGTGAACATGAACTAGCTTTTCGCAAATCAGATCCAGCATCATATCTCTTCAAACACCACCAGGAAACAGGCCACACAATAAGCTTCGAAAACACCAAGACCATTGCTTTGGAGAAAAATCTTCAGGCCAGGATAATTCGGGAAGCAATCGAAATTGAAAAACGCCCCAACTGCCTTAACAAGCGAGATGATTCGCAGAGACTACCACAAACATGGAGGACATTGATGTCACGCAAGAAACCTGGAAATAAGTCAGGTACCCGGTCAGGCAAACCAGATACCTGCTACAACAACATAAATTTGGCCCCGAACAACAGAGTGACCTGTACGAACTTAGAGTGGAACACAGCAAACATAGAAATAGTAACGAGATAAACTATTATGTAAGCAATAAATGGAAAAACTTACATTATATTTGAACATGAAATTGCTTGGCCAACAATCGCCATGTGTAATCACAGCATATTTATCATAATACTCTGTGAATTTCGCAAAACCCATCCATCCATTATCGATATATTTTTGAAATTGCTGGATCATGTTTTTGTTACGTTCCCGTGGCAAATATGTTCCGCACTCGTGTAAAATAAGAGAAAGAGTTTTTTTCCATATCTTCATATCTTTAAGGCCGCTCCAATAGTTGTATAATCCCTGAGACACTATCCGAAAACTGTGGGGGAATTTCGATTTGAGCGCCATAGATACTCCATGAAATTTTCCATATTCAGTAAAAATCAGCTCAAAATGTTCTTTGTTAAAAAACACGCGTTTATCTATCGTTTTGAAATGTTTAGATTTCAAATTTTCTAAAATCAATTTTTCTTTTCCTAAGTCTAAGTCGGTGGTGTAACATTTGGCTATTTTATCGAATAACCCTGAACATTGGGCTGCATCTTGAAATCTCACAAAATTTTGCCATATTGTCTTATAGAAGATGCATTCGTTGCGATACATTTTTTCTATGGGATAACTTTTTCTTACTATTGATTCTGTTTTTGCACATTTCGCCATCACTTCCAGTGTTTCATTAGTTTGTTTGTCTTGAATTGTAACGAAAAGCAAATCACCCATATACCCTTCTTGTTGTCTATTTCTTTCGTGATACGTAATAAGTGGCTGTGATCCTTTGAAGCCTGCTAGTATCATGACATCTTTCAATAAATAGTCAATACTTGGTGACAATTCCAGTTCAAACTGCAATGGGCAATCAAAACTCATCATGAATTATTTAAGTGTACAATGATTTTCCCCAAAAGACTGGAATTTGTTCGCGTATTCATTCTAGTAGTTATCTATATTTTTAAATATACACTTTTTGTTTCCTTTTTTGTAGTTTTGTAAAAAATAGGGAAAACAAATTGTGAAGAAACAGAGTCGAACTGATTTGTTTACTAGATTTAGTATCATTAGTTGAAGGGGTCTTTTAGGAGAGATTAGTTTTTGGGAAAGAAAGGTTCTGGCTTTCTACTTCTGCATCTTAATACAAATGATGTGGGAATCTTCCAAAGAGAAGAAGAAAAGAAATCAATTTCAAAATAAACTTTTTACAAAGATGTGTAGATCATGCAAAGAAGTAACTTTTAGACACAAACTGAAAGAAAAAGCCCTCTCGAAACAGTTACTTTCACATAATCTTCAAATTACACGAAAAAAAAAATACTTTCGAAACAACTGCTATGTCACGAATGAGTTGAATCTGCTCATGTCATCGATGACACTAAGTATATACTTTAGGAAATTTCTATCAGTTGAAAAATTTCGTTGGGCCCAATAGCAGTAATCCAATCGTTTATATTTGTTACCTTCTTTCAATGTACGCAAGAACTTTGGTTTAAAAGGTTTAATTTTATGACGAACTAGACATATAGGTACTCGAAATTTCTCTCTACTCAAATTTAATTGCTCAGACCTTTCACGCAAACTGATTAGTAGATCGACACGAATTGAAGCTTAGATATTACGAGTATCACCATCACGGTATAGTTCATGTAAACGATTTAGTGCAACCTACCTATTCCAACAGTTCCCCTTTGAAAATATAGTTGGGGAGCTAACTAATTTCGTTAATCATTTCTGAATCGTAAGTGTTGTTAAAAGCAACAGGTGGTTCCTTCAAAAAGTTCAAAACAAAATCTAAGCGTTACCAACACCAGGGTTTCTAGGAATCTTAATGGAAACTACTTCAAGTCACCAGCCAAGTTTTGAATGGAAAATCAGATGGCGCTAATCGCTACTAATAAACTGTAGTGTGTTGCCATAGTTGTAATCTTGTAACTTAGCTCAATTTTATTTTACCGTTTAACTCTGTTCTAATATCTCCGACAGGCGTAACGCGTAATCGGAATTTTCGAGTTGAATCTCCGAGAAGCATAAATCTGAGTCTGAAGTCGGTGATATTAATCAATATGATCCTTTCACAAATTCATGCAACTGTTACAATAATTGTGGAAACATTTTAAAACAAAAAATGAGTTGGAAAATAAAGCAAGTTCTGTCGCTCCAACTTAAGAAGAGGAATAAAATACTCTGAAGGAATTATGATTTTCAATTATGGAATATCATTGACTTTAGGTCGATGATGGCCACTATCTTGCACTGACGAGTGGCTAATGAGCCCGAAACCGGTCTGCAAGTGTGCCCGTTCCAAAATTGAAGCTCGACTCTTTCAGTTGTATTGCCAATTGCATATGCAGGAAATTTTCTGTGAAGATTCCTGCACTGACGCCTGTCGGATATAA